TTATTGCAGTAGTCAAGTTCCTCATCGCCGTGATGATTTTTTCAACACGTCAATCTAGGGCATCAACTCGCTACGGAAGATCAGGAAGAGGATGATTACCTTCGTTATCGTTGGTGGCCATCCATAGCAGGAAACAGTCTGTCTCTAAATACCAACTGATGTAACAGAAGCGTAATAAAAAGAGATAACTACTCGTTCTCGTACAAGCAAAACGACACAAACCCTAGAAATCCTAGAAATAGAAAACTTTCGAAATTAGTAACAACCAATCTAAAACCCTACATGAGTTTGTTCCTCTTACATAGGGTACAAAACAATGAAAAATACCAAACTATCCTTTTCCTAAAGCTAAGAGAGATCTTTACATAAAAAACTTTCTATAAAAATTAGAAAACTAAAAGTAGAAGATGAATATCTTTCGACACGAATATTATCTGGAACTGCAAATTAGTTTTATGTATAGGGCACTTCCTGAGCTTTCCAAAAACATATAACAATCAAGATTGTAAGAAGCGAGTCAAAACATAGGGTCCTCCAAAGTTGCATCTTAGAATCTGTTTGAAAATACTCTTTCGCTTCAATTATCCCGCTTTTGCATGATCGGATTTCTTCCAAAAACATCAATTATTGCCTCCGCATCAGTTATAGCCCATGAAAATCATGAATATCATAATTCCCACAATTAATTGAAGTCGAAATGAAAAAATTAGACGAAAATCATTGATTGCAACCTATGAAAATCGCGAATTTTAAAGTCTGCATATTTATTTCACCTTTAAGTCGAAGAATGAAAATTGATGAGATCATCTGTTAAGGGAGTAGGATCTCACCCATTTTAGTATGGGTAATCGCCTTTCACAATTGTTTATGATATTACAAGAGGAAGTGTGTTTGGTGGTTGTTCAATTATAGAATTTGTAAATGTTTCGAAATAAATTCAAATTTTGCGAGATTGCTCTCTCCCCACCTAGATGGCTCTGTTGGCCAGAGGTATTATGATAGAAGTTCGAGCAATTCATGCTAGCCAAGGGCCTAAGACAGACTTCGTGTCTTCGTATTGCGTCTTGGCGTCCTACCAAAGGGGTTGTTAAAATAAATTGTGATGGCTCTTCTTGTAGGTTTTTGGGTTGGCAGCATTACGCATGATTGGTCACGATGATCTTGGGATGGTGGCAACAGCTAAAGCCGGAGGTGCCCAGGTGAGGGGATGCTCAAATGGTGGAGTGCCAAGCTATTCTTATGGAGTTGAAGTTAGCAAAAAGCTTGTCTCTATTTAATGCCATAATTGAATCAGATGCTTTAAGTGTAATTGAAGAGATTAGGCACACATGGTAGAGCTTAACTCCTTCGAGTATATTGTTGAGGAAATTCGCAGGGAGTCCTTTGCCTTCCACCAATATTCCTTTATTTTTATCCGTCGTTTGAGTAATGAAAGGGCACATAATTTAGCCCAGTATGGATGTTCATATAGTCATACTTGACTTGGAGAGGTTGTTCTCCCTCTTTTTTATTGTCGCTATTATCGCATTATGTATTTTCATTTTCGCATGCAGTTTAATCAATGGGCAGTCTTTTTTATCCAAAAAAAGGTACATGAAAGTGGAAATTTTCTATCTATGGATTGATTGAGAACATCAATCTTACAACAACTTGATGCATGGGACAAGACTATAAACCTCATAATTTCGCACGGGAGATGTTTCAAGACATGCAGACTCGTATTATGGCGTGTTCTATCCATTGGGAAAGTCCACAGAATCCTCCATCTATTTTTGCGCTATCATATTAAAGAAATAAGAACTCTTGGTTCTGACAATCAATATGTATATACATATTCCTCAGCTCTTGCTTCCACAACATTTGTTCCAGCGGTGATCATCACCTTGAACAATAGAGTTCAATCCGCTTGAAATTGGGTCTAAAATTGAATATTGAAGTCCTAGGAGAACTTCTAGTCCTACCCAATAATCATAAGCCAATGTCACCTCCTGGAGTTGTACCATTATTTAATTCGCTTGATAGCATATGAACACCTCAATAGATAACACCTTTTTGTATGTATATTTCTAAGCACAAATATCCCCACATATACACATAAGACAAAACGTGAATTCCTACATGGACAAATAAAAGAGGACTCATTCATAGGGAGCAATTTTATATAAATACATGCATACATGCTTGTGTATATATGTCTCCATGTAAGGTTTAAATTATGTTTCCATGTAAGAAATAATTAAATTATTATATATATATTCGTCTAGTATTCTTCTTCCTATTGGGTCTGTATAGAATTACAACTAGAATGAGGGATTAACATGAATATTTACAAATAAACATACCTCTCTTTTTGGCCGAGTTCCTTCCTTTCTGAAGAATAGTACAAAAAATAAAAATGTCATGTGCAAGGAAAGCTTAAAGAAAAAAAGTTTTGTATACAAAGAGGGCTTACCTACTAGTGCGAACATGTAAGGATATATGGTCACCATGTGATGCAACCTAAAATGCCAAAGTAAGGTGTAAATAATCTTGAAGGTACAAATCTCTTCAAGTTTGTAACATCGAAAACATTAGAACTTATCTATCTAACATGTCAACATGAAGAAAAAAGGCCTAGAGAAAGTCAATGAGCATCAATGGATAAACAGGAGAAGCAGTTGAAAATATGAACAACAGATAAAGAGGTTTTCTGCACAAGAGAAGTGTATTGACAAGAACAGAAGCAGTAACAATATAAGCTATGTTTTCTCCGGAGTTGGGTTAGTAAACTTTATTGTTCAAGAAGGATGGCTCATGTAATACCCCAACCCTTGAGAGGGTGATGTGATTAGTATTGATAGATTTGATTGGAATACTCATACCAAAAAGATGTATCTTCTTTTCGGGAATCTAACTCTTAGAAACTCCAAAGTTAAGCGTGCTTGGCCTGGAGAAATTCTAGGATGGGTGACCCCCTGGGAAGTTTTCCAGGGAGCACGTGAGTGAGGACAAAACCTTTTCCTAAAGCTAAGAGAGATCTTTACATAAAAAACTTTCTATAAAAATTAGAAAACTAAAAGTAGAAGATGAATATCTTTCGACACGAATATTATCTGGAACTGCAAATTAGTTTTATGTATAGGGCACTTCCTGAGCTTTCCAAAAACATATAACAATCAAGATTGTAAGAAGCGAGTCAAAACATAGGGTCCTCCAAAGTTGCATCTTAGAATCTGTTTGAAAATACTCTTTCGCTTCAATTATCCCGCTTTTGCATGATCGGATTTCTTCCAAAAACATCAATTATTGCCTCCGCATCAGTTATAGCCCATGAAAATCATGAATATCATAATTCCCACAATTAATTGAAGTCGAAATGAAAAAATTAGACGAAAATCATTGATTGCAACCTATGAAAATCGCGAATTTTAAAGTCTGCATATTTATTTCACCTTTAAGTCGAAGAATGAAAATTGATGAGATCATCTGTTAAGGGAGTAGGATCTCACCCATTTTAGTATGGGTAATCGCCTTTCACAATTGTTTATGATATTACAAGAGGAAGTGTGTTTGGTGGTTGTTCAATTATAGAATTTGTAAATGTTTCGAAATAAATTCAAATTTTGCGAGATTGCTCTCTCCCCACCTAGATGGCTCTGTTGGCCAGAGGTATTATGATAGAAGTTCGAGCAATTCATGCTAGCCAAGGGCCTAAGACAGACTTCGTGTCTTCGTATTGCGTCTTGGCGTCCTACCAAAGGGGTTGTTAAAATAAATTGTGATGGCTCTTCTTGTAGGTTTTTGGGTTGGCAGCATTACGCATGATTGGTCACGATGATCTTGGGATGGTGGCAACAGCTAAAGCCGGAGGTGCCCAGGTGAGGGGATGCTCAAATGGTGGAGTGCCAAGCTATTCTTATGGAGTTGAAGTTAGCAAAAAGCTTGTCTCTATTTAATGCCATAATTGAATCAGATGCTTTAAGTGTAATTGAAGAGATTAGGCACACATGGTAGAGCTTAACTCCTTCGAGTATATTGTTGAGGAAATTCGCAGGGAGTCCTTTGCCTTCCACCAATATTCCTTTATTTTTATCCGTCGTTTGAGTAATGAAAGGGCACATAATTTAGCCCAGTATGGATGTTCATATAGTCATACTTGACTTGGAGAGGTTGTTCTCCCTCTTTTTTATTGTCGCTATTATCGCATTATGTATTTTCATTTTCGCATGCAGTTTAATCAATGGGCAGTCTTTTTTATCCAAAAAAAGGTACATGAAAGTGGAAATTTTCTATCTATGGATTGATTGAGAACATCAATCTTACAACAACTTGATGCATGGGACAAGACTATAAACCTCATAATTTCGCACGGGAGATGTTTCAAGACATGCAGACTCGTATTATGGCGTGTTCTATCCATTGGGAAAGTCCACAGAATCCTCCATCTATTTTTGCGCTATCATATTAAAGAAATAAGAACTCTTGGTTCTGACAATCAATATGTATATACATATTCCTCAGCTCTTGCTTCCACAACATTTGTTCCAGCGGTGATCATCACCTTGAACAATAGAGTTCAATCCGCTTGAAATTGGGTCTAAAATTGAATATTGAAGTCCTAGGAGAACTTCTAGTCCTACCCAATAATCATAAGCCAATGTCACCTCCTGGAGTTGTACCATTATTTAATTCGCTTGATAGCATATGAACACCTCAATAGATAACACCTTTTTGTATGTATATTTCTAAGCACAAATATCCCCACATATACACATAAGACAAAACGTGAATTCCTACATGGACAAATAAAAGAGGACTCATTCATAGGGAGCAATTTTATATAAATACATGCATACATGCTTGTGTATATATGTCTCCATGTAAGGTTTAAATTATGTTTCCATGTAAGAAATAATTAAATTATTATATATATATTCGTCTAGTATTCTTCTTCCTATTGGGTCTGTATAGAATTACAACTAGAATGAGGGATTAACATGAATATTTACAAATAAACATACCTCTCTTTTTGGCCGAGTTCCTTCCTTTCTGAAGAATAGTACAAAAAATAAAAATGTCATGTGCAAGGAAAGCTTAAAGAAAAAAAGTTTTGTATACAAAGAGGGCTTACCTACTAGTGCGAACATGTAAGGATATATGGTCACCATGTGATGCAACCTAAAATGCCAAAGTAAGGTGTAAATAATCTTGAAGGTACAAATCTCTTCAAGTTTGTAACATCGAAAACATTAGAACTTATCTATCTAACATGTCAACATGAAGAAAAAAGGCCTAGAGAAAGTCAATGAGCATCAATGGATAAACAGGAGAAGCAGTTGAAAATATGAACAACAGATAAAGAGGTTTTCTGCACAAGAGAAGTGTATTGACAAGAACAGAAGCAGTAACAATATAAGCTATGTTTTCTCCGGAGTTGGGTTAGTAAACTTTATTGTTCAAGAAGGATGGCTCATGTAATACCCCAACCCTTGAGAGGGTGATGTGATTAGTATTGATAGATTTGATTGGAATACTCATACCAAAAAGATGTATCTTCTTTTCGGGAATCTAACTCTTAGAAACTCCAAAGTTAAGCGTGCTTGGCCTGGAGAAATTCTAGGATGGGTGACCCCCTGGGAAGTTTTCCAGGGAGCACGTGAGTGAGGACAAAACGTGCTGAAAAGACATGTGGTGGTTTGTGAGGTCAGTCCATCAGATATAATAGCGTACCGACTCCGGGATTCCGGGGCGGGGCGTTACAAATGGTATTAGAGCCAAGCCAACCGGAATTGTGAGAGCTAAGTGTTATACGACGCAAAGTGCTACGTCGAGAGGGCGGGAGCCACCTCTTGAGGCCGTATGAGCCACCTCTAGATTCTCACACGGATGGTACGGTCTTGGATGATATGATTTGGCACAACGAGGACGTTGCGAGTTTAAGTGGGGGAGTATGTAATACCCCAACCCTTGAGAGGGTGATGTGATTAGTATTGATAGATTTGATTGGAATACTCATACCAAAAAGATGCATCTTCTTTTCGGGAATCCAACTCTTAGAAACTCCAAAGTTAAGCGTGTTTGGCCTAGAGAAATTCTAGGATGGGTGACCCCCTGGGAAGTTTTCCAGGGAGCACGTGAGTGAGGACAAAACGTGCTGAAAAGACATGTGGTGGTTTGTGAGGCCAGTCCATCAGATCTAATAGCGTACCGACTCCGGGATTCCGAGGCGGGGCGTTACAGCTCACCTCTTCTGTCCTCACTGGGGCATTATGTTTGGTTAGTTTGGAGAACAAAGTGCATGGATGTCAACTCAACAATACCATATTGTGAGTATTTTGTCAAATCCTATATAGTAGGAATTACCACGTTTAACATTTGACAAGCTCTATGATAAGAGTAATCAATTTAGAAGAACTCAAGAATTACATGTAGTCAGTAGCATTTACCAAGAAGTGTTTGGAATAGTGTCATGCCACACATGAAAGGATGTGGTTGGAAGTACCTATTAAATCCATCGGGGACTACCTCTAGCGTCCACAGATAACACCAGTAGAATCAAATATCACCTGGTGAACATTTTGCTAGCAAGAACGTCAGATCCTAAACGATAACGAATGCCATAGGGGTGCAAAACGGTCCACATCCGATCTGATCCACAATCGTATCCGTAACGGATGCAGATATCATACCAAAAGTTTGGAATCTGTCAGATACAAATACTGTTTGGAATATGTTTTGGTTTTTTGGTCAGATATAGTTTCGGATATGGATATTAGCTCAAATTTCGGTATATGGTCCGAATATTTGAATTCGGATATAGACTCAGATAAGAATTTGAATATGGATACTTGCGGATGTGGATATGGAATGGATATTATTTTTTGGTATTCTTGATAATATTTGCATGTGCTTTGGGATGTGGTCATATGTTTTTGGGTTACTGGATCGTGTTTTTACTGAAATAATTAATTGTACATTTAGGACTTATTTTGGCCAAATTTATGTTATCCTATAATTTGATTTATTTTATTAATGATGATTAAGAAAACTTTGCCTTTGAGTAATGCACTTGGATTATGACCATTTGAGAATTGTGTTATCTTGGTTGTATTAGATATTGTACATTACTTTTAAAATTGATAATAAACAAGATATTACAATTTTTAAGTCATGTTCTATATCTTTGGTGCAAATTAGAGCAATCGATACATTGACCTTCTCTTATATTCGGCGCATATCTGTTTGCTAAGCATCTGTTTCATATCCACAACTGTACGATATCCCTCTCTCCAATATCTGAACCGTATCTGTTTCCCTTTTTCGGATATGGTTATATATCACTTACTGAAAGAAAACCATATCCATATCTATTTTTAGAGAGAAGATATGGATATGGTGAATGTCATGTCCGAACCATATCCAATCTGTTTGCACCCCTATATGACATGTGTATGTGCTAGTGAGTTGTTTGATTTAATAATTTGATAAATCATTAATTTACCAAGGCTAGTACTTTTGACAGAACAGAGAAAACTCATAATTAAACATACTTTAGCGGCAGTAGTACTAGGATGGGCGAGTTTGTGGAAGGTGCTTGCTCAGAATTTCAACTAAAGAAACAAAAAATAAAAGAAAGACGCTAGATCAACCTGGGAATAAAACTATGATCTGTATTAAAAAGAAAATACTATTGGATGGAATATACTGTGATATTTTAGAAAACAAGCTAGTCATCAAATGTTCCTTTGACTAAAACTTTGATGATAAATGCCTAAAATTGAGGTTCAAGTGAATCTTTGTGATGACATTTATGTTTAGAACTACAAGAGCCACACAGCCCAATGAAATTGTTCATAATAAGTTCATTATAAAAGTTTACCTGTCTCTCATGTTGTCTTGTTCGTGCTTCTTCTTCAGCAGCCCTTTCCTCTGCAAGTTGAAGCTGAGAAGGTGCAAATCAACATGAATGAAAAAAAGTAAAAAAGATTTAGTACCAATAAATCAGACAAGCAAACCAGTATAATTATTAACTTTGTGATTTGGATATTGCTTTATCTCACCTTTTCAGTAGTAGTTTCATTTTCGATACGTTGCTCATCAACCTGCATTTTAAATGACTAATCATGTCAACAGATGTCAAGAAATGTAAACGAAACAGATAGAAACAGACAAGTTGCTCTATGGAAGAAAAACCAATAAAGAAAGCAACGGAAATGTAGATAGAAAGAATGAAAACAATAAAGAACAAAATCATACAATACCCTCTCCAAGATTTATTATCCAGTTACCTCATCCTGACAAGCAGAAGAGGGTCGCATGCTGCTGGTTTCTCTCATATTCAAACTCCCCAAATCAACAGACACCCTAAACATAAGACACATGTTATCTCCTCATTATGTGATATATGAACAAGAATGATAGAAAGCATTTCCTGAGAGACCATATTAGGAGGATGATAATATACCAAATTAAATTTAAATGATATTTAAATGAAGAACCACCATCACGCCCAAACTCCCACCAACAAAATTCACACCATATTCTTGGGCTTGCCGGATAGAACTAACAGTTAGTTTAGGTTTTATCAGACTAATAATATGATTGTTGATTGATAATTTCAGTTGGTGCTAGCAAGCAGAGAACCATGTTATCAAACTTAGCAATTTCACAACAATCCATTTTCAGGCCACTGTCTTTTTAGAACCTAGTTTGCTTCAAGATGTTTTTTCTACAACTATATTATTGTCTGTTCTGTTCCCAGAATGCTTTCTATCAACTCTTAAATTTTAAGTTTTCACTAACAGAACTTCTACTAGAACCAGAAACAGGTCAGTTAGATGTTCATAACATGTCATTGCTACAATATAGAAAAAGCTATGCAAGCTTCATGTGCTCAACTTCTATATCCATATTCAACCTCATTTTTTATTGTTCAACCTATTGGTTTGCCACAAAAATTAACGATGCCACATTCAGCACAGACGGGAAAGTTTAAGCCAGAACTTGGCAATAGATCACAAGAAAATCAAAGGAGAATAAGACATTATAATTACCGTTCAGTTTTCACAATTTAGTTAAAAAAAACTAAATACAGACGCATTAAATGCCAAGGCCTATACATCTCATATTTATATGAGTCTAGATGACCAATAGCAATAATATGTCACAAAATTTAGGAGATAACCTTTCAAACAATTTACGAACTAATCTTAACAATTACACAGACAATGCAGATGGCTTAATGACACATAGATACGAAGTAAAAAGACCAACCTTTTGTCTCTTCGACTAACAACAGGGGAGTCTGTTCTCATTGAAGCAACAACAGGTTTTTGTGATGGCTTAATCGATGGTATCAGTGCTGGTTGTTTTGCCACCATAGCAGGTCGACCCGTGGATGTTGCACGAACAGTAGACGTTTGTTCAGAAAGATAACGACCTATCTAAAAAGGAAAAAGGCATAAAAGTATTCAACAAATAAAATTCTATGAATTATAAATAGATGCACATTATAGCTACTTATAACCAAAGTAAAGCATATACAAATAGTTATTTAAGGATTTGCTGAGTCATGATTCATAACTAAGAGACAAACTTCATGGCAATATTTATATCCAACTGTACAACATGCAGAGTTTCAATATTGGAGAAAAGATATAATGAATCTATGTACAAACACGTCCTTATGTTTGCTCTGAACAGTTCACTTAATCGACTCATGTATAATTCAATAACAACATAGCTTACGAATAATTACTTATTAGAATTTAGACTTGACAATTCTCATTCAAAACCACGACTATTACAATCAAAAGGTAATACTCTTATGCTTTCATGACTTAGTATGTTCTTGAAGCATCACAAACTGACCTCAAATTGTCAAGAAATATCTACTACATCAAAAACACTACACAAGTAAAATGAGTTTCATTACTGTCTCACAAAATTGCTGTCAATTATCTTTCTGTAAGTATAGGATGCGCCAACACCCGAAATGCGGTACAAAAATAAACTTATATTTTATAATGTACATGTAATTATTACAAAATACAATGTTCTAAATGTCAGAAGTCGGAGACATGTCGGACAAAAAAGTTACGTATCGGATGGTTCATATCAGGTATGAATCAGGGAATTTAGAAAATATCAGGATGTCATCAGATAACGTACATGGATATCATAGATGTCCATCCTTGACGCATAAGAAAAAAAATGGAGCTATGAAGACAGGTGCTGTCTATCTTTCATGTTTGAAACGTGAAATGATTAAAGAAATTAGTAATATTTTTAAGTGCAATAATCGTTGGACTAAAAAACATGAAACCTATTTTGCATATAACTCCAGGTTGTGCCCTTTCAATATTGTATGACCCAAACTATAGTGTCTAAATTTCTGTATGCCCCAAGATAGAACTTGTATTGTTGTACTTTTACACTCAAAATGACTATGCTAATCTTTTGCGAAGGCTATTGGGCTACACAATCATGATACGGGACTAGTGCGCTGATTTTTACACTGATCCGCGGTTCACTACTAAAACACCAGCCATCCAGTGGACAAGACCAATTAAATATTTCTCCATAACATGACACAAATCATCAATCTATCAAGTCTACATGTAAACGTGCCCCCAGGTATCAACCAAAATCCAATCTTTCTAGCTTATTCAAGGATGTATAGAGGAAAAAAAAATTCTAGAAAAAAGGAAGCTTTGTGATTCATACCGCAGGGGAAGAGGCACGATTAGCCCGTCGAGGAGTGGAAAGCTCGATCGGAGGCATTGGCTCCGGATGTCCCCTATCCTACGTCGCTTCATCATCATTGGACTTGCGCCATTGACCCTGGGCCGCCAGACGCTGGCGGACGCGCGGCAGTCCGCGGTTGGGTCTGGATCGCCGAACTGCTGACGCCAGGCGGCGAGCCGGAGCGGATGGGCGCTTTTCGCCAGGGAACATTCGAGAGGGGACACGACGCGGATCCAATCCCCGCAATCTCCCCGGTTCGTCGGATTCCCGATCGAAATCGATGGAGAATGTGAGATTTTGATGATGGGGTTTCTTGATTTGATCATTTTTTTGTACGTGGGAGATGTTGAAGAGAGGAGAGGGCGGAAATGGAGGAGGAGAGAGAGAGGCGTTAACGTCTGCGGACGAAATGGACGGCGTGAGAGAGGAGAGATCAAAAACGCACCTAAACACGCTCAACCTTTTCAATATTTTGATTTGAAATTGGGACAGATTTTCAACGTAGAAATCTATTTTTTATTTTACCCGTTAAAGGAGGGAGTTCATGAAAAATTTTCCTTCAACCAATTTAAATATTTATATACCAAAGTTATCCTTCGGCATTCGATGACATGTTAAAAGGGAATTAGTTAATGTGAGTAGTAAGAAGACATGGAAAAGAGGGCGTCGACGGTTTCACTCTCACGAGTTTACACCTCGTTTTGTATGTGGGAATGAAGTCAAGTGAGAATGGAATGGAAGAGAGAATAAAATGGAATGTATGTGAGAATGGAATGATCATTCTCATTCTCTTGTTTGGGTGCGTTTGTAGAATGAAGCTAGAATGAAAATCTAATTCTCATTCCCATGTTTGGTATCACTAGTTCACAAGTGAGAATTGAATCTCATTTTCTAATAATGTCCTTATAACAACATAGATTTTTAATAAGATAAAAATAAACATTAATGATAATAACTTAAAAATTTTATTTATGCATATGTTATATTAATCTAGGTATGTGTTATACTAATGCGCATGTTATCGATCAGGTGTATGTTTCGTTTATATTTTTTAAACAATTCTCATTATTTCTGCATATGTTATATTAATCTAGGTATGTGTTTTAATAATGCCCTTATACCTCTATATATAGTCTAGACATGATATGGTTTTGATAATTTTAATATTTTGGTGAATTTCTCAGCGAGAGTTTCCTCTTTTCATAAATATTGGGTCAAATATTTTTCAATCAAAAGTTAGATTTATTGTTGTGCATGAACCACAATCAAACATGTACACAATGGGTACATATAATTCTCTATGGTGGGAAAACAATAGCAAAAATTCAAAAAGAATATAATATGCTGGTGAAAATAACAGACTTTAAACATTGGTGAATAAACAAAAAAAATTGATTGACCAAAAAAATATTGACATGAAAGAATTTCAATCGGCAAATAATATATAGTTTCAGTTGTATCTGTTTTTATATTAAATTGTGTTGCTCCTATGTTGAGCAATTGTGATATAATAGGCTAATGAAATATGTACCGCTAGTTTTAATATGCTACTGATATATGTACAACTAGTTTTAATCCCTACCCCGCAAAAAATTCCTATTGTTCGATTATAATTAGTAGCTGAGAGAAAATGAGAATACGTAGTCAAAAGCAATGATTTTTAAATTGATTCTTATTATTAATAGGGGTATAATTGAAAAAAAACCTAACTAATTTGATTCTCCCATTGAATGAGAATGATCATTCCCTATCTACTCACTTGGAATGCACATTCCCACAAAAAAGTGGGAATGACCATTCCATGGGAATGGTCATTCTAACATCTAAAAACTAGTTTTGTTTGGTATGAGGGAATGAGAAGTGAGAATAACATTCAATTCCACCTCATTCCCACGTACCAAACAGGGCCTTAGTGCTTTTGAGGAGATTTATTCGTATAACACCTTCTTTGTTTTTATATTTATATAATAAATAAATATATGTCTAAAATGGTTCCGCCTCCTTTACATTTTGAGAAGGGGCTATCCGCAAAAAGGGTCGGCCTTGCTATTTTTTTGAACAATTTTTCAAAACAGCCCCATTTCATTTTTTTTTATTTTTAAAATCGACCCTTTTTATTATATACCAAAACCGACCTATTTTTTGCCACGTCAGCCTAATCACCCTCCTAAACAGTCGGGGTTGCCAACCCCGACTATTTAGGAGGGTGTTAAACCCTAATTAGAAGCCTTAAACCCTAAAATTTTATGTCCTAAATAGTCGGGGTTGGCAACCCCGACTGTTTAGGATGGTGATTAGGCTGACGTGGCCAAAAACGGGTCGGTTTTGATAAATAAAAAAAATTTGGGTCGATTTTAAAAATAAAAAAAATTAAATGGGCCTGTTTTGAAAAATTGTTCCTATTCTTTTCCTTTCTCTTTCCATCGTTTCTCCTCTCTTCTCTCTCGTCATTACTCTCATCATCAGAAATCAAAAGCCCTAGAGTCACCCGGTCTGTTACGCCTTCTCTCTGGTAACGCTTCTCCTCAGCCAGCGCCGTCCCACGATCTAAAGCCATCAATTGCCGAAGATGGTTACTATTGTCATCATCATCAACGCACCGCCTCCGCCATCATCTCCTCAGTTCTCAGATTTGTTATCATCTATCTCTCATCGGCCTGCAACTTTGGAGTTTGGCATTGGACAACTTTTTATTCTCCTTTATCGAGGTGCTATCTCCCTTTCTCCTCTCTTTTAATTGTCGACTTGGGAGATCAATTGATGCTGCGATCTGCAATGATGAACTTTAGATTGGGTTTAAGTAGATTTTTTTTGCGCTTTCTCAGTTAATGACTATATTTTTGGGTTATAATAATTTGTTGAGTTTGCTATAATGTAGGGCTTTTACTCAACGATAAGTGTAGTGCATGGATGAGGTTTAAAGATTTTAGGTTAAATTTTCACTTGCTTGATTTGATACATCATGTTAATATTGCACAAGAAATTAGTAATTGGGTTGGAACTATTTTTCCCACAATCAAGCTACTAATTTGTTGTTTGTTCACATTTTTTTTTTGATATATATAACTTTTATAGAAAGCACAATAAAACAAATTCTACCTATGATTTTAAGAAGGTTTCTTCTTCGTCTTCACTCTGCTACACAAAAACGTAGCTCTAATCTTTAATTTTGCTCAATTCAACCTCTACTCTTTTTGTTCTTCATTCCTTTCCTTTTGATCTAATTTTGCCCTATTTGTCGATTTCCTGTAGTTTCAAGCGACGAGGTTTTCAATAATCAAAGGTCAGCTGGAGCGAAATTAGAAAGTAAGTTGAATACATACAACTTATTATATCGGGATGTATTTTACCTTTCTATCATCAATTTACTATTACTATTAGGATGGAAATATAACAATTCTATAAGCGGCTATGTAACTGTCATGCCAAGTTCATTATCTTTTGCAATTGAAGGCAAAGTATGAAAAGATTATAGGAGGAAGATCAGAAGAAATAATCTTAAGTAACCTACTGGATAGTGTGCTTATGAAGAATGACGACTATTAGTCTACATGATAAATCAAGAATTTCTCAAGAAGACTACTATATCCAATAAGGTACATTTGAAGCTAAATTAAGAAACATTCTAAAATGTCTTCGATCCTCTTTTGAATATCTATGATAATTTAACTGAAGTAAAGACTGTATAAGTAAATTTGTTGAGGAAATAGGATCAAAAAAAACTTTTATAGAAGCACAATGATGGAGTACTAATGCGGCATAATTATGTACCAAAATTGTAAGTGCACAATTTATCAAGTTATAGTATAAAAAATATCGATCCCATGAGGAAGGTGATTTTAAGAGATTATTAGAAATGGTTCTTATGTCGATCCCATGAGGAAGGTGATTTTAAGAGATTATTAGAAATGGTTCTTATGTTTTGTGCGTGACAATTTGGAATAAAGAATAAGTGTGATTTTGTTGAGTGATTGTTATGAATATAAGCAAAAGATAATAAATTAAATTTTAGAGGAGAGAAGGAAGAATCAAAGAATAAATAAAATCACAAGGCAAGAAATATGAATTAATAAAAATTTTAGAGGAGAGAAGGAAGAATCAAAGAATAAATAAAATCACAAGGCAAGAAATATGAATTAATAAAATCAAGAAATAAAACTAAGAATGAAAAGAAAATTTAAGAAAGTCAAGATGAAGGATTCAAAAGAGGTAAGAAATCTAGAATATAATCCACTAACCAATTTCAATTACAAAATACAAGCTATTCTCTTTTTATCATATTTCAACTTAGATTTATTAAGCATAGATTATCAAACCATTTAAGGAAAGTGTAACCTATCAAATTATCATCTAAGCTAAAATTACTATTCATGATAAGAACAACAACATGATAATAATCCTAGAATTCATAAGCATAACCTATCAAACCATTTAAGATAAGCATAGATTATCAAATTCTTCTTCTACCGATTAGTTCTCTAGTTGATTATCCTAAACATGAATATTTTAAGTGCAAGAGAATAATTCGATCATACAATATAAATGAAATTAGACTAGTTTCATATAATTCTAAACTTCCTACAATAATTAAATTCACATATTTAAGAAATGAAAACAAGAAAAAGAACTAACTACAAAAATAAAAAGAAAAGAAAAATCTAAACTATGAACAAGAAATAAATCTAACTACAAAGAAAATAAAAATCTACACCACAAAATATATTACAAAAATTAAATGCAAGAAAATAAACCTATTCTACAAATTAAAGTGTAAAAAAAAATAAAAAGACAAGAAAATAAATCTACACTACAAGCATGAATTTAAATCTAACTAATAAGCAATAATAAAGAAATTACTAAAAAGAAATAAAAGAGAAAAGAAATGCAAACCTTCAAATTGCTCTTCATCTCCATCCTCATCATTCAACAAGAGGAGAAAGAACAAATTTAAAGAGGAAAAAATTATTTTTATTAATTGCAACTAAAGTTACAATTTTTTGGAAGGCCTTCTCAATTAAGAGTAGCCCTCATCTCCAAAAGGAGTTTACAAAA